CTGTGCAGTTAAGGGGCTCAATTTCACTCTGGATGGCCTGCCCTGTACTGTTTTAGTCAATAAATAGGCTAGGCAGATGTTGAAGGCCAATTGATTTTTCAGTACAAGAAATTATTTTAATTTATTCTGCAAAATGGTTCTTAGAAATGTTGCAACAATAAGGCTGTCCTGGTTTTGGACTGTTATATACTCTGCCTGTTGCAATGGTCTATGTGCTACTTTGTACATGTGTGCCTTCTAGTTCTATTAGACATAACTTCCGTTTCAAACTGCACCCAATACTAATTCGTCACCTCTTCCTACAATTGCTTTTTTTTCCTGTTCCTCAGCAGTGGGAAATGCTTGATCTATTTTAGTTCAAAGCAGGTTCCTTAAAATATAAGGGACAAGATGGATATTTGGTAAAAGTCTAAAGAATCAAGTATCAGGGTTTACAAGAGCCGCTTATCAATTAGTAAATAATAGAAAGTATCAGTAACAGTCTGTGTGTTCCTGAGATACGTTCAATGAACAAGTTATTGTGAGAGCAAGGAAAGCCCATGTTTACAGTAGTCAGCTCTTTCACACAAATTGTGTGTTTTCCTACTGTTGCATTGTGGTTACTGCTTCATGCTGCATCACAGTGAGGTGTTACAGAATGGGGAAAATACTTCTGGCATTTTTACAGAATGCTTGTGAAGTAATCGTGCACTAGTTACTGGGACTGGGTCAAGATCATTTTGGTGTGAATTATTTTCCAGAGTCAAACCCTGCAAGATTCATGAGTTGGAGGATAGAGATTCATTAATCCCCTGATTAACAGGGGAATGGAGTGAGCTATCTACTGCTCTAAAAAGCAAGACATATATCCACTGAAATTTTATTTTATTGTGTTTTATTTTGTTTCTTCAACAGGTGCATGAAGTATACAAAATCTACTTGTTTTCTCTCTTCTTGGGGTACCTTTTGCAGTTTGAAAATTCAGCCTTACTAGTGTCGCCATTACTGAGTCTTGTAGCAGCTTTAATGCTTTCTAAATGCCTTCAGGTAACTAGACACTCCTCTAACTCTGGGTGCAGTTTTTATTATTTAAACTGAACTCCAAATGATATGGCATTCTTAAAATTTTTGCAGATGAATATGAAAAAAGGTACATTTATGTCAAGATTGCTGAAAATAATGTACATTTACTTGGTATTTACGATAACAGTGACGCTAAACTTCTTACTAAAGGTAAGATTCCTCTGTAAAAAGTGACTTTAATTGCCAAGATCTAAATGGAAAGTTGCAGATATATGTTACAAAAAGCTTTTGAAGTGTTGCTTATTTTATTGATCTGAGAGTTCATAGCTTAATTCATAGCAAATTGGAGTACTAAAAATTGAGTTACTTTATATCTATATAAAAAGTCTTTAACAACTCAAGCTGCTGTTTTTTGTTGGGATTTTGGTCTTCTGGGTCGAGATTAAAGCATAGCATAGAAATAATCTTTAAATCACACTTTAGCTATTTCAGAAATGTGTTTTTTTGTTATAACTTGGATGGCCTCTACAAACTGGTATGAATATTAAAACAATATTCTTGTGCATGGAGAAGACAGAGTAGCCAGGAACAGGTACGAGTAGTCTCAGGGTGGATATTAATTTTTGATTAAATTCCAACTAGAAGATGGGAACAGAGACCTTCGCTTAGTGTAGGGGTCGGCTAGGAGCTGAGATTACACAATGGGTTTTTAGCCTGCTCTTTTATTTTGATTAGCAACTCCCTCTTGCTGGCTGTAGTCTTCAATATAATTTATTCTGTGTTTCCTCTATGTCTCAAACTCACCCTGGTTGTGTTAATTAACAGAGTCGACTTAAAAATAAATAAGCTAGTGAACCTTAAAAAGGTTGAGAGAATGCTCAGATCTGATTGTTTTCTTGTGCCATTCAGTCTGGCTAGCCTTACTGTATCTCCAGGAAAATAAAACTTAACCTTGAAAAATATGAGTTAAATTACATAGACACTACACAGAACTTTTGGCTGCTCAAATTATTTATTGTGAAGATCACAATCGCTCATAACTTTTGCTAGGCTGTAGTCCTATTGTTTAGTGGAGCCAAAGGCAATGTTCTTTGACTTGCTTGGGGGGAAGTCTGTGTCCTGTTTTCATGATCCTTTTTACACCATTCAGCAGGCTTTAGACAACTTACTGACAGCTTTTCACTTGCCCTCCTGTTGGAATACATGAATGAAATGAAGGGAATGATATTCTCAAGGAAACTCTAAAGACAGATTTATTTAAGTGAAGATTTACAATATTATACCGGTACCTTAATTGGCACATTTAATCCAATTTGTTAGTTTAACTAAATCCTGACTAGTTGATTGTTCCCTGCCATTTTGTAATCTGAGTGAAGTGACTACGTGAAAGCTGCTTCGAGCACTTGATAAGATTTTTCTCTGCTAAATTAATTTTCAGATGTTTGTTCCTCATAAAGAAAATGAGCATTTATTGAAGTTCATTGAAGTAAAACTTGGCTTAAACACAACTAAGTAAGTTTTTAAACTCTTTACATCTTCTAAGATATCCGAACTTCTGAAACTGCTCTAAGTATAAAATTTCAGTGGCTTATGAGACTCTTATAGACAAGTTAGGGAAACAGTTTCTATTTGTTGCCTGGCTTTAAGTTTCAATTAAAAAAAAAAATGCATATACAGAATTTACTTAGGGTTTTGAGGTTTCTGAGGCACCCCAGTATTTTTCATGCCTTCGGGTGAAAGCATTTCATAGACTTTTGTTTTCTTTTGTTGTTGAAGGGCAAAAACTTTCTGTACCCTGTCTAGTGTTTCTAGTAATATTTGAAAGCAAAGACAATAGGGTAAAGGTGGTGGTACTAACTTCTTATAGCCTGGAAAAGAAAGGGCTCTGAAAAGAGTCATGAACTATCGACACTATCTCAAAACAGGGTTGGGCTGTGGGGTTTTATTTTTAGTTTTCTAAGAATAATACCCCCCCAAAAAACCCTGTATGTTTTGGAAGAAATTAGGACGAGGGACAAGTTAAAACTCAGAGGGTATTGTGATTCTAAGAAAAACTGTTTGCATCTGTAAGAGTTAAATGTTGGTCTACAAGAAGAAGACATCATGGCTACAGATTTTCTGGAAAACTTCAAAAGGAGTTTTGATAAAGGACTGAGACACCTCCTGGACCCAAGCCAAGACTTGCAAGTCTGTGCAGGAATTGGGACTCTCTTCTGGGAACTGCATCTCTTACAAAAGTACTTCACAGCCTTTCAGGGGAAGAAGTGGAAAATGACATCACGCGTAATTGAAATTATTGGGGAATTTTTGGAAGACAAGATGCAATGACTGACTAAGATGCATTGTTTAATACACATACATGCTCATTCTTAAGTGTTTTGCAAGAAAAGAAAGGACTGCTTCTGGTCAGGGTTTCAGTTTATTCAGCTACCAGTTGTTATGGACTTGGGTTTTTTTTTTCCCCCTGGGGATTTGCTGCATGTTACTTTCCATGCTGTCAAACTCTGCAGTGAAGCCGATGATTGAGACAAACTGGGTGCCACTACACCTAGAAAGTTGTGTAACTGTGGGTTGGCATTACGGTTTGCAGCACAAGAGCTTCAAGATCTGTCTTTTAAGGCCAGTTTGGACATGCCCAGCTGTTAATCTTTAAACTGATTCTGTCTAATTGAAAGTGGTTCAGTCCTCTAGTTTTCCCTTGGGGGGGAAAGAAGAAAAGAGGGAGGAAAGCGAAACAAAATACGACAAGAGTGCATTCACAGCATCACATACTGCACCAATTCCTGTTGAGAGTACACATTGATAGTGCTTCTTGGCAGAGTAGATAATCTTTCTGCTCATTAATTGAGAAAGAAGAATGATCGAGTGGGTTCAGCTACAGAATTAGAATTTCAGCATTAAGGATTCTATTCTTGGCAGTGCCTCGGGCTTGTTTGTGATCTCAGATGACCACTTTCCCTTCTTCATCTCCCCGTTTGGAATGAGGACAAGCATACCTTCTTGCATCAATATCTCTGAAATCTTAATCCACTGTGACAACAGAGTGCTTTGTGGTCCCCATAATGGAGTTATATGGGCGGTTGGGGTTTTGCGATTTAATAAAAGAATTGTAGTCTGGTCTCTTCAGATCACAGATTCTTTTTTGGAAGATCAGCTTTTGACAGTTACTCTAAAGAGTACTTGCAAAGCTGTTTCAAATGATAACAAGATAACTTTTCAAAGTTGGAATTTCAAATAGTTTCCTATGATGTGAATAGGTTAAACTGTGATTGGTTGTGTATTGGGTTTTTTTCTCATCTGTGGGGTATTGTTATTGTGTTTAATGGGATGTTTTTGCCTTACTAGGAATTTTACAATGAATTGGCTCCTTTGTCAAGAATCTCTTCAGGCACCCTCCCAAGACTTTTTTTTGCGACTAACACAGTCATCACTATTGCCTTTCTATGTTTTAGTATTAATTATCTGCCTTTTTTCTGTAACTCAGGTCATTTTTAGCAGAATTTGGTAAGTAACTTATTTATACTGAAAAATAAGTTGAAAATAAGAGGTTCATGGATGTATAAGTGAATGGTCATCATGTTTGTTGCTCCAAAGTTTGTTGCACCATTGAGCTTGCCAGGGTGTGAGCACCAGTGGAAAGGCCTGCCAGAGGCTCGTAAAGAAAGTCCTTTAGTGACGAGCTTCTTGAGCATCCCTCCAGTCAAAACAGGGAGTTGTAATTTCTTTGTTTTCCATAGGTGCAATTCCTGCAGAGCTCTGGCTAATGTTTTGTGATGTTTACATCGCTTCCCATTGCAAGGGAGAAAGATGGTGCGTGTGTTTTCCCCTTCCAACAGAAAAGTTACCTGACTGTTGCTAGAGGATCTGTTTCTCTGGGGGTTTTTTTGTTTGTTTTTTTTGTCCCCAAGTTTACATACTGTGAAGGATGAGATGGGTAGAATTGAGGAGATGGGTAGAATTGAGAGGATCTCGACTTTCTAATGCTTCACTTTTGGGGTTTTTTTTAAACTTGTGTTTACTCTTGTAAGGTCCATCAGCCTCTGCTGCTTAGAACAGAGCTTAAGTAAAACTAACTCAATTATTTTTAGTTTCACAGTGATTCACAGTTCCCTTGAGAGAAAGGTAGTGGAGCTGTCTGTTTACAGACTAAGAATAGCAAGACTGTAGATCCTAGTGTAACTTGTCTTGAAAACTCCATGGCTGGGAAATTATCTCTTCATGGTAGAAGATGAATGGCGTAACTGCTCAGGTATTAGGGCAAATTTCTCACTTGCCTGCAGCAAAAATCAATAGATTTTTTTCAAGGACTAAGACTTCTAATAGATAAAGATTATACTGCTATAAATGAAAACGTTTGTCAGGTTGGATGTGTGATAGTATATTCAAAACAATGAAACAAACTCTTCTGATTTTTTTGCTAGTGTTGAAATAGCTGTTTAATACTTTGTAATGAGCAGTGACTCCGTATGTCCACCAGCTTTTTAAAGAGAAGCTTAAAATAAATCATCTTCCCCTCTTTTTTTGGGGGGGGTTGGTTGTTTTGTTTGGTGATTTTTGATTTTGAAGCAGTGAATAATCTCAAATATTTTCCCATTTGTTGTGAGGAAGCTTATTACAAAATTGTAACCTGAAATCACATCACGGTAGAATAAAATGTTATCTATTGTGTGCCTTGCTATCTTATTTGTAGAAAATCATTTGTTGTAAGATTTTGCTTATTTTTTTTCTTATAAATTCCAGTAATATATTATAAATATGTGACTAAAAACTGGTTTTGTTATCTTACTTTGTGATAAAATGGTATACGCATTCCATACACAATTACCGTCCTACAGATTGAATAATTCTTCACCAAGCTAATGATAAAAAGAAACTTAGTTAGAATGCATGTACGGCCTGCTTCATCTAAATGTTTGTGGAGTGTGCATGCTCTTAAATTGGACTGTCTCTTGTTGCTGAATTACCTTAAAATAGGATTTACAGTCATAGGCAGTGATCCTATTGTATTAATTCACAGCCATTGCTCCAGAGAAGTTACAGTCTAAAACAAGGGACAGTGGATACTGATAGATCATTGATGAAGCACAGAAAATAAATAAGCAGTGCAACAATATTGTATGGTAGGATAAAGAATGATCTCAGTGTACTGCTGACTTAACAGTCTTAAAAGTGTTTTTATTGGCACCTTTGCCTGAGATAATGTCTGAATTAAGTGATGTCTCATTTTCTCCAACTGCAGTGGTGAACCACTGAAAGAGACAGTTAAACTTGAGGATGGTCGAATTGGAGAGAGGCCAGAAATAGTTTATCATGTAATTCACACAATTTTACTTGGTTGTCTAGCGATGTGTTTGGAAGGGTAAGTCTGATTTTGATGTATTTCTTTTGAAAGCAACAGGGAGTTCCTAACTGGATGCGATACACCATTCACCCCTTTGAAATTCACCCCTTTTCAGAAATGTATTTGACATATAGCAATACTAATTAGTAGGGGAGATAGCAAAGATAATTTTGGCTATAAATTGGATACCTGTATATGGTGAATTGTTCTCGGTCTCTTTAACATGTTTTCCAAGCTTTGATGCAGCCAAAATCCGAGACATTAATTGAAGCAAATTTTAATCACTTTAAGTGCAGAACTGCTCTGTAATTCTTTTAATATTGTATTCCAGCAACATCTTGTGTGGTATTTTGATGAACAGTGCATGTTATGGAATATTGGGATGTGGAAGATTTCTTATCCATCTTTATTTGTCTAGGCTAGCATGAAGTATACCTTTGCTTGACATGCTAAAGCAGTAGCAAAGCTCTTTTCAAAGGTATTGTGTTAGTCTTTAAAGCTACAGAAGCTAATGTTGGCAAGATGATGTTCTAATTTTGGCTCTCAGCTAAATCAGCTTGAAGGTGGTAGACTTGTGTTTGTATTATGTTCATTGTCCTAAAATCTGAATAGTCAAAAATTCTTAAACTGAGCAGACTGTTGTTTACCATGTAGTTGTCTTGTCTATCCTTAAGAGGCAGACAATATCAGCAAATAGTAAATTGTTTATTAAATATTTTCCTTTCCTTTCTTCAGGAACTTCCTTATAGTACAGTGTCTGTACAGCTTTGCTGAATAGCTGCTTTTTATCCTTGCTTGGCTAGAAAACCGCAACAGCCAAGTGACTTTACTAGTCTCTTTGTTTTTCTTTCATCCTCCCCTGAACTCTGTGAAGGATTTTGTCATCTTTGACCTTGGATCTTGCTCCTACATCTTGCAGCAGATAATCAGGTGCCTGCTCTTCTGCTAGAGATTTCCTTGGTTTACCCTTCAGTGCCATCAAATTTGATTTCAGATTGCTTGAACATCCAGACTGTGTTTAACATACAAAAAAAATCTGAATGTTTTTATAAATAGCTTGAATGCAGAGGCATGTGCAGAGTCCCAACTAAGTTACTGCAATGTTTTTCAGAATGAAATATCTATGGACACCTTATGTTTGCATGCTTGCTGCATTTGGTGTGTGCTCTCCCGAACTTTGGATGACACTTTTCAAGTGGCTTCGACTGAAAGCTGTGCACCCGATATTGCTGGTGAGTTGCTATTGCCAATGTCTTGGGAATTACAGCTAGCTAGCATCTAACTTTTCAAACAACAATGACCTAGGACCTATAGAAGAATCCATTAAAAGAACATGTAGTCCTGTGTGCAGTGGATCTCATAGTCTGCTTTTTCTGTGTCTTTCATTCCTAAGATCACGCTTTCACATGTTCTCTGGTTCCTGGTGATAAAGCTGTGTTCACAGTACAGCCTTTCCTCCAAAGAAGGAGACCTGTCTTCATCTCTCTCTCTTTCGCTCATCTGTTTAATGTCTTTTAACAAATCTTTGAGACCTCAAGCCCTCTGTTGTATTTAGTTGAGACTGGCCAAGAAGGTCAAGTGCTCTGTAGGAGGAGTGCAGGAGAAAAAGCACAGGCATGCAGGCAAGCATCGATATAAGCCTTGTTTCACTAGGAAATGAGGCTAAAAATGTGGTAGTTAGGTGCATTTAATTGGTTAAAGCTGCTTCATAAGAAATGTTATGTGGAATTACTTTGTGTAAGATTAGTTCATATGTGACAATTATAGAGAAGTGTTGTGATTGAAGATGAGCTTGTGCTACAGTGCAAACAACTCCCCCACTTCCAACACTAGCTTTATTCTTAATATGCTGAGAGTTGCTTTGTGCAATTTTTGGCAGCTTTTTGCATTTGTTTTACTAGTAAAATAAGGATAGCGTATTACTTACCTTAATTTTGAGAGGCTTAATAATAAATATTTTATACTTCAACAGAGAGTCACTATGTGACTTACGAAAATGCCATACACTGTTACATCAGAAACATTGACAGTGTTCTTCCAATTAAGGAGTAGTAATATGTTCACATACACGGTAAACGCATTCCTTTATATACCTCATGTTTTCTTCTGTATAGACCTGCTTTATTACTATTAACACAGTAGATGTGTTAATAGCTTATTATCAAGAGAATGCATTGTGTGCACTCCTTACCAAAAGTTTCCAGTACCACACGAGCTATTTTCTGTTTTTCACAAAGGAAAAATTGCTTCAGCTAGACTGATGGTGTGCTGAAAAATGGGTTTCTGGGTTTTGCATATCAATATTGTTCATCTGAACAAAAGTATCAGCAAGGTCAGAGGTTTGAAATGCTTGTTTCATACCTCTTTTCCTTTCTTGAGTTATCTCATTTTAATTTGTGTGTGAGAGGTGTTTACTTTTCTTCTGTTCCTTACATCATGTGCACACTGCATCATTCTTATTTGAGCAGTAACTAACCATCCATAATATTGCTGGTAAAATTATCATGTGTCAAGTAAGTTCTTCTGTGCTGAATTAGACAAATCCTTGTTTGCAGAGGGGTTTTTTGCCTGGTAGAAAAACATGAAGTTTCGCTTACTGTCACTCCAAGGTTTCAGGCGTAAATGTAGCCTACTGTATGAGCAGAATCAACAGGTAGTCCAAGGCTGAAGAATGGAGAACGGTCCATAATCCATTTCTTCTAACATGTATTTTCTAGGCTCTTATTCTGAGTATGGCAGTTCCCACAATAATTGGATTCAGCTTGTGGAAAGAGGTAACAAAAGTACCTTTGTGGTTTTTGTTTTGTATGTCGGCACAATATGAGTCAAAATGATGAGCACATATAATGAAACATACTTGGTGAAATCAAATATATATGATGAAATAAAAGCTGTCATCCCCTGAAAATGTGTTTTGGTTTGGTTTGTTTTTTTTAAACAAAACTGTTGACATTTTTCAGTATGAGGTATTTGACAATTTAATTTGTTAACAATTGCTTATTGTAACTAAGAAGCGTTTAAATTCAAATGACTTTATTATATTCAGCTATTATGCTTTGGATATATAAACTGACTCAACAAAGGAAATATTGCCAAATAAAAACTCAGGATATTAAAAACTGTGTTGCCCCAATCTTGGTTTTAGTGAGCGGGAGTGAGGTTAGATGGAAGTAAAATTGTGGGAGGCCATACACAAAGAGCCTGTTTGAAAAGTTTCCATCAAATTATAATAGAGTTAAATCCTTCGTGCAGAGCAGTGTGTAGAGGTTATGTATATACTACAATATAGGGAAGAAAAGCTACAGGTGTTTCCATGTTTAAAATAAGTAGTTAGTTCTTTATTGCAAGTCACAGACAGACTGGGAGGAAGAGTGTTTGGTAATTATTTTTTAAACTTCCGCAAGTGCAAAAACTTGGGAAATATCCTATAAGGTGTAACCCCCTACTATAATGACATAGCTTCAAAATAGTTTTATAAGAATTCAAATAATTATTTAAAAAAAAAAAACACCAAACTTTAAATATAGAAGCCAGTCTTGACCAATGGTATTTTAACAGATTTCGTAACATCTATCTTATAATAGAAATTTTGGTTGTGATGTAATCTGACTCTTTACACGTTTCTGCCAGAGCAATAGATACTATTCTGAAAAAAAGCTACAGTTGGTCAAAAGAGTTATGAAATATATTACAATAGAGGAAACTAGGTTAATTGACCAAAGAATTCTTTTTCAGAATATTTTTTAATAAAAGCAGTGTTGGGGTTTGGACTCTAGAGGGCTTCATCCATTGCAGATCCAGCTTTTGCTTTTAGGCAGGGGTGAACAGTTTGCTCTCCAGGTGCATAACTCATCCCTGAGCTTGGAAACTTTGACTAATAGTAATGGGACAGTGCAAATGCCTTGAGGCTCTTCACTTGTTACCGTGGCTATAAATGGCTGAGTGTACAGCTCAACATCTTTCTCCTTTGCTGCCTTCTGGCTCGGTCTGGCACAGTCCCTCATCTAACCAGATTCTTCTGAGGGCTCTGGTTGATAAGTGAGGCTGGTTCTCCTTAGGGTGGCAGTAGCAGTTCCTCTCTCTGTCCGTCTGTTGTTCTGGGGACTGCTCAGGTATATGTATAACAGCACTGCCACAGCTTTCAGCCCAGATGCAAACACATGGCAGCTGTTCTTGTGTTGCCTTAACATGTCTGGTTGTAGAGTGCTATCACTTGGCAGCTGAATTGTCCAGGTAGTGGGGGTGGAAACTACTCAAATTGAAAGCAGGCTCCCATTTCCAGCTGTCTGTCCGCTATGGCTGTCCCAAAGTAAGTTGTCCCTTTAGTCTGGCATAACCTGTAAACTTTATCTTTTTCAGAGCTAAATAGTAGCTTTCACTTACTATTTACAACAGCATGCTCCAGTCCCTCAGGGCTGGCCAGCTTCTGCCCATGCCTTCTTCAGATAAATGCTCAAAATAGCTCCCAAAATGTTTTTCAAGAGCATAAGCTGAGATATCCTACTTCATAGATACAGTGTGCTTTCCTTCACTGCAGTAATTGAAGTAAAAGTCAGAGGAAAGTCCCGGGCAGATTACCCACATAATGTTCTTCTAGGAAATTTCTTCTTTCCTGCTTGCATAGCACCTTTCCATCAAGTCACAACAGTCCAACCCCCTGCTACCACCACCTCCATTCAAGCAAGTTTACCATAAGAGATTTGTCCTGATTCAGTGCCCTTATTTATATGGATTTGCATATGAAAACCTGAACTATGCTTTTGGTGCATTTAAGGCCATTTGAAGTTGATGCATGTTGTTGCCACGTAGTTTCTTGGGGTTTTTTTAGTTTGTTTTTTTTTTTTTATTATGAGTTTTCTAGTAAAATAGGATTAGAGATGAGAACTTGTTTTTAACATACTTATTTTGGAGGTCTCCTGCTGTCAGATAAGCATAAACAGTGTGTTTTGCAAAATATTCAAACAAAAATACCAATCAGGAGGGAAAACTCAGGTGAAACCCATTTCTGTTGTGTTATTTAAGGCCTGAATATAATGAGATGCTCTATAGATTCTTTTTTTTAGCTGTAAGTAACCAAAAATATGTTCCCATCAGTTCTTCCCTAGGATAATGACAGAGCTTTCAGAACTACAAGAATTCTATGATCCTGATACAGTAGAACTCATGACATGGATAAAGTAAGTATGAAGTCCTACATTTCTATTTTAATTCTTTATGTCAGAGTGTTTTTATCTCAGCATTTTGTGGAGCTACTTCTTAATCTGAGTTTTCCCTTGCTAAGTCATTACATGATATAGAGGGAGATGGGAGGAGAAATGTGTACTTTAAGTTTGGTATTACTCCCATGGAAAGAAGCAGGAATTTATCACTGATTATAAAAGAAGATGATCCTGAAACATGCAAGCAAATCATGCCTAATATAATTTCTAGACCTAATTTCCAAATAAAGGGGGATATCTTAGTACTTGATTCTTCACACACAAACTTTTCAGTAGATTGGAGGATTCATGTTTATTGTAATTCCATGGGGGATAGAAGCACTGAAATTTTTGTTTGCATGAGCCAGTAAAATGAAATGCCTGAATGTAAGGATATAGAGACTTTAGTCAAGAAGCGCGCAGTGTAATGTGTATGATTCAAACTTCCCCTTTGACCAGAAGGCTGGAAAGGTTCTTATCTGCCTGTCTAGGCAGGGCATAGCAAATACTGAGCTATGTTATATAGTTCACACTGAGCCATGTACATAGCTAACATGGAGTCTAGTTATTTTCACAGATCTGTTTTTCTTCCCACCAAAAGTTTCAGAACTGGATTCTGGCCTCATTCAATCTAACTTTGAATGATGTCATTAGGAACTACATGTCTCTGACAGTTAGATCCCATGTGTTCAGATAACTTACTTACCTTTTAAATGGTTTTGTGGTTTTGTTTTGTTTTTTTTTTTAGAAGAATATTTTCTGTATTTATGTAGTCTTTAATGTCAACCTGTTCGTCTTCAGAAAAGACAAGGCTGGTAATTAGGATGTTCCAGCCAATTTCTTCTTTCTGTTAATAGTAGTGTATGTTGTTTGTCACTGCTATAGCTCTTCAAAGCAGCAAGTGGAATAATGCCAAGTACCTAATGGCTTTTACATTAGTCTACATATATTACACTTCAAGTACATAATTAATCATGGTGAATTGCACTGAGATTCACTCAGCTGAGAGCAATTTGATGACCCTTATTTGTAGCAGCTGTTCATATTTTTAATGAAAATAAGGATTTTTTTTTTTTCTTAAGTATATACTTAGCTATCAATATTGAAATTTTAATTGAATGTCATTATTGTAGTATATTTTCTTAGAATTTTCTGTCTAATAAAATTAATTTTATTTTGGATTTTCTCTGCAGGAAAAGTTGCCCAAAGTCTGTAATGAAGTGTGACAATGACTGTTTTCTTTCACTAATGCAGGAATACAAATAGTCAAAAGATGAAACCAAACCCAGAAACATAATTACTGTAGACGCTATTCTGTATCATGACACTATTTACTTGTAGCTGATTAAAAACATGGTCCTAGAGATCAAATGAAAATAATCACAAATCTTTCCCTTACAAGATAACATCATGTTGTTTCTCCTTCTACTTACCCTCCCTCCCAAGCTCGTTTTGTCACAAGTCTGCAACCATTCAGAAAAGCAATAGTTTGATCCATTCCGGAACCACTCGTATGGTGCTCTGTGGATTGCAGGGAGGGGAGGAGAACGGCCATCAGCCCTTGCCTCAGCAGGGGACCTTCCTTGCAAACACCATATTGCTGCAGGTCTGAGCTTTTCCTGGCAAGCAAACTACTGCTGCCTTAACACCAGTTGTAATTAGACCCCCAATATCTTCATGCACTCCAATTCATACCGTAGCACCTTAAAAGATTCACATGGTGTTTAAAGTTAAAAACATTGTTTTGGGAAATGCATCCTGTACTCAGACATGTATGTTGATGTTGCTTTTGCAGACGACAGGCTCCTGTGGCTGCTGTGTTTGCAGGCAGCCCGCAGTTAATGGGTGTGATTAAGCTTTGTACCGGATGGATGGTGTCGAGCTTGCCTTTATATAATGATGATGATCTTCTAAAAAGAAATGAAAATGTGAGTATCCAATTCCATAAATGTGTGTGTACTATCAGTGATTTATACACTGTTCCATCAGGTAAGACTGAAGTGCCTGATTGAGATGTGCGGGAGTACTGTAAATGTTAATGCTCCAGAGAAGATGACCTTGTAACGTTCCTTATGACACACAGGTTTGTATTTGCTCTTCTGTGACTCCCAGGCCACCAGGCAGTGCAAATTATTTGTTTGGTGTCACTCTCGCTGCATGCGAGTGGCATTCCAAATACCACCTCGACCCCCCCCAAGCATTTAATTTATCACTGATTTTTGCATTGCATGAACATGTTTTCTTGATTTATAGATTTATCAGATCTATTCAAAGAGGTCGGCAGAGGATATTTATAAAATACTCACATCTTACAAAGCCAATTTTCTGGTTATTGAAGATTCAATTTGCAATGAAGTCGGACCTGTAAGAGGATGTAGAGTTAAAGATCTATTGGATGTTGCTAATGGTCATGTAAGTAACAGTAAGAAAAAAATAATGTTTGAATGCATAAATAATTTGTTTTAAAAGATACCTTCTTATAACGTTGATCTTGTTTTTCTGATTGTAATTGACATGGAGGCAAAGACTCACAAATTGTAAAAGTGATCAATTAAGTTTTGGGTTGTCTGTTTTTTATACACCTGTAACCTTACCCCATCCTATTCTTTAACTGCTCCCTCCTAATACATTAGTATCTAGCTGTGCTGCTTTTCTGCCAATCATTAAATACCATTTAACTGCGCGAATGTTTAAGACTGTAACACCTGAAGAGGTTATTACAAAAGGAGTAAAGCCCTGCCTCGGAGGGCATTCTTTACAAGCTTTAAAGATGAAATTTTAAAGTGGATAAACTCAGTTCTTCTAAAGCTCTGTCTGGGATGAGGACTAGCCTGCATTCAATTCAGTACAGCCTGTTTGGTCCTGATGAGGTTACAAGTCTATTCAGTTCAGTCTTGCAGGTAGGTTAGCAGCCCAGTAGGTAGTTTAAGCCACGATGGGTGGAAAGATTGATTGAATAAACTGTAGAGTTATGAAGACACCCATGAATGCTACTTCAGTCATGCTGTGTCTGTTCTGAATGCAGATAGTGCTGTTCTTGCTGCTGAAGCAGGGAATGGGATGGGGTTTATAAAGTGATCTCATTACCATTTGTTCACCTGCTTCCTGGGAATCCAGCAAAAGTGGCCCTAAACTCACTTAGGGTTTGGTTGCTTATTCTCAGGTCAACAGGAGAGAGGGACTCAACAGTTACTTGTAAGCAATCACAGGTTAGCTTCATTTAGTTGGTTTCCTGACTAAGAAAAAGAACTTAAGCGTGTTTGACATTATGGCCTATTGTGTATTAACTATACCAAATTAATCCTTGGTTTGAATGCTTTTTTTATTTACTTTTTTTTAATAGGGAGGATACATGTTTCTTGTGTATCATCTTATATTCCATTCTTGGGGGAAAATCCAAGCTGTTCACCTGTGTTAGCTATTTTATAAGCTCAGTTTTCGATGATAAGCATTTCAAAAGAACTTGTAATGCAAGCATTTCGTTTCTGTAGTTGCTTTCATTTGTGGGAATAATTATAGGGGTGATCTGTTTTTAGGGGATCACTCTTTAATTTCCCCAGGAAGCTACAACTGGTGTCAGTTTCACTTGTAGATTTCCTGGCCAGTTTATCCGTGGAGGATACTGTCTCTGTTTTTTCTATTAACTTCCTTAATGTTGCTGCAATCTGTTCTTTGCCTTGCTGCTAAAATCATGTATGACATGATTATTCCATGTTGTAACCAACATACTATACCATAACAGAGTGTGTGTGTATGAATAACCTCCATCACTGATAGTCAGCACGTGTTATCTCTCAGTTTCTTCTCAGATCTGTTTTTGCATGAGTAAGTTCCCATTCCCTCTGCACACTTAGGATGTCAGCTGGAATAATTAACCACAATTTCAAGATTCCATTCCTTCATGTCCCTGCATCTCTCATCCCTGTGCTTCCTGCACGCTTCTCTCTCACACATAATCCTGATCTCATCCTAACTTCAGCAGCACCGTTTTACTGTCAGGTTTTTAAGTTTTTGTTTGATTCATGTATCAGAATTAATTTCTTCCTCCTTTAATTCCTAACAAGCAGTTATTCAGCAGTTCATCCTAAGGAATACTTCCCGGTACTTTTCAGAGCGGCTGTTGCTTGTGATGATAATTTTAATCAAAGGGGGGGAAAAAAAAATCAAAAGGCAGTGTCCAGTGCAGAGAGCCTGTCTGTGATAAATGCCACACAGCACTGTCAGTACACAAAAACAGTCATTTACGATTTTTGTGTAATTAGGATTGTCAAAGTGACAAGGGTTATCCTATTTATAGTAGAGAGATAAAGAAGGGGAAAAGAAGGTTCATGATGAGAGTTTTGGTTAAAATCTGTTCTGCTGAGTGTCTGTAATCTAAATCTGTAGCAAAACGACTGGTATATACATTTAAATGTAGACAACTTGAGTGTTCAGTATTTTTGGAAAAAGATTGGTTGGCTGGTAGTGAACATCACTTATGCTGCCTGTCTGTAGCTGAGTCTGTACTGGGTTGGATGCTAAAAATTGTAGTTGTAGGAAAAAATAATTGGAACAGCCAACAGGAATAAAGTATTTTTTTCAGAAGGTTGATATAGTTTGTTCCTGAAAGTTGATATAGCGTGTTGTCTCAGGAAGCTTTGAAACAAAGCTCTCAGTTTGCTTGCTAACAAAAATTGTCTTAAGTCGTGTTGAAAGATGATCGAGACTTCCCAAACTAGTGGAAGCTAGTGCATATGTACTTGGAGACTGAAGCATTTATTTAGTCCCAAAGTGAGTGAGACAGTGGACAGGCAGTTACGCTGTTGGCAGGTCTATGGATCTCCTTTCCAAACTGCTGTGTTTAAGAAGTGTTACTTCTAACTTAGACTATGTCCTGTAGTCCTAGTGCGCTACCTTGTTTCTGACACTGGCTGGGAGCATGTGATTATTGATAGGGCAAGACAGCAGGCTGTTGCTAAAGGGCTGTAGCTCAGGTGAAGAACCTTTTGTGTTTGGTACCCACCAATAGATTTTTCTCCACAAATTGGTCCTACCACCTTTTCTTAAATCCATGTAAACTTGTACCATCAGAAGAAGTAGCGAAGGGATTTCTTCAAGGATATCAGATAGCAGATGCTAAAAAGCATAAGTAATTTGCTTCCAAGTCGATTGGTTGGAATTTATACTGCGATACATGTGTGTGTCTTCAGTCTTTATTAGGTATGTCAAACTCACTTGGCCTGGAAAAGGTAATTAAGAATTTCCTTCCCTGCATAGGTGGTATGCTGTGTGCAGGTCAGGTGTGAAGTACTGGGTAAACGAGACATGTGGATAATTCTCACTGCCATCGTTCTTTATTGTATGAATAAAGTACACTGGTTTTAATATCTGCTATCCTGACAAAGGTATTAATTCACAAAAGCTATTTTAGATGGTTAAACAAATTATAGGGGAATATGTTTTCAGCTTATTGGAGTTGTACAGTATAGAAATTAAATGTCTACCATAAATGAAATTTACAGAATGCAGAAGTAACTTAAAGGTACAGAATTACATTGTGTAACCACTTATCTTCGGCATTTTAATTAGATCTTCTTTTCTGACAGGTGGTTTGTGAGGAAGGCGACAGTTATGCCTACTCAAAATATGGACGATTTTGTCATGAAATCAAAATGAACTATTCTCCATATGTGAATTATTTTACTCGAGTATACTGGAACAGATCCTACTTTGTATATAGAATCAACACTGTGATATCCTTCCAGTCATGAAAAAGCTTACAAGCTTCTTTCTGAGGATTGATTGTGAATGAAATTCAGTTGGAAAAGTTCCTTTTGATCAAGGAAGTTATTTTTGCAGATACATGTGCGCACGTGCAGTGTATTGACATTTTTATTTTACCAAACTGGAATTCCTTGAACTACAGATCAACGGACACAGATACCATTCTTGAAGGAAACGGGAAAAATTGTCAATTTTAAGTCTCTACAGAGTGCGACAGTCTTCCACGTTTTTGCATTTTTCTTCCCATTATGAATCATCTTGATCTTCATGTAAATGAGATTTCTAACCTTAGTGTTGGAGAACTGATGTGGGTAGACTTCAGTAAATGCAGAAAAATGAATTAAAGAGCTCATTTAAGTCATATAGCTTGTATTTCCTAGCAAGAATGCAATTAGTACCCCGAGTCTATTCAAGTAAGTGTTTGGGTTTTTTGGTTTTCTGTTGTTTTAATTCTTCCTGTCTTCCACTATAAACACTACTATGTTTATCAAACACACATTCATACATCTTATATGTAGCTGTAGTGTTTGTATAAGTCAATTAAGGAAGATTTTATTTAAACCACACTTTCATAGATTATGGCACTGATCTCTACATTGTTGGAGACATGTTGGTGGAAGTGCTTGGACTTAGACCTAGCAGTAGGAGTTGACAAGGTCAGATCTTCAGTTTGGAAAGAACTTGTCGTCAGGATTTTTCCGTGCGTAAATGTCTCTGTTTGTATGCATATGTGTGTCTTAGCAGCCATCAGAAAGGGCCAGTATACAACAGTACACTGTATATTTCTTTTTAGACAAGTGTCGCAGAGCAACTAGGTTTGCTGCTGAGACTTCTGCACTTCTGTTTCACCCCCTCTGTGTGCGTGCTGGTATATATGTGTGTGCCTGGGGAGGGATGGGTGATACTCATTTCATTCAACTTATTATGTGATAGTTATATTAAGATAGTGCCATAACTGTAATTTAAAGTGCTATAATCGCCACCATTAATAATGGTACAGTTGTTCATAGCTATTTTTATATCAATTATGCAACTACACTGAGATCTTTGAGAAAGTACTCTGCAATCTTCCCTCTAAAATTAGTCTTCCTTATGTGACCCCCGTTGCCTCTACAACTGTTTTTCTTAACAAATTGTCTGTTCTTACTTCCTGTTTATTGCTGGCTGATAAACTTTCAAGATGCTTTAATTCCAACTCTGGGCCTAATCCTGGTGTTGTGAATGGGAAGTCCAATAAAAGGTAACTTTGCTTACGTAGGTGTAACTAGACAAAAAGCCAGGATGCAAGTTTTGGAAGAAGTTATTCACCCATTAGGAGTTACCTGCAGTTATGGGTCCTTGTACCACCTGGCCCAGAGCCCAGTCTATCAGGTGTGTGGGAATGATTCTTTGGAGCCCAGATTCTTTAGTGAAGGATCTGGCATAATAGGATGAACCTGCAACTGAAAAATCTGCAAACCATTCTGCAAATGAAAGCTGCAAAACGATCCTTACTGCGCTTGTTGATAAAATGCAAATTCAGAGATTTTAACTCTGAAATTATTGGGAACTGCAGCATGTTGGTGTATAGCGGGATTCCTATCTGCTCTATGCAGATACATTTGCTTACTTTACCCTGACAGGTAGCGCTGAGCCTTCTAAAAACCTATTATCACTACTGGAGTGATTTAAAAGAAAAAAGCTGTCTTGTTGTAAAAGTCAACATGTCTGTAATCTATTTTTTTACTTTCAGTTATATTTTTAGGCCTATGAGTCTCGACAAGATGTTAAATTATCCATTTTATTTTAAATCAACGTTCAGATAAATACATTGAATATACTGGATGCGATCACTGAGAGAAACATTTACCAGTATAACTGAGTTACAAATTAAAAGCAAATATCCTTTCTGGGGATACAGTTGTTGTGCTGAGGATAACGTGTATGGGTGTCTCCGGTCAAATGCGGTCTGTGTTGATTTGCTTGTGCACAAGTGTGTGTGTTTCACTGCACTGGACTCTTTCAGACTTCAGTTTCTCTATAACAACAAAAGCGAGTGTGTTAACTTGAGCTATGACAGGCCTGCAGGAACCTTCTCTGTACATGCTAGTATGGATGTAATACTTGGAAAGAAGTTTAGAGTTCCTTTATTAACAATTTAAGTTTGTTTGAGTCGCTGTCAAGGAATTACATCTCTTGTGCATCGGTCATTTACTCGCCTGAAGTGAATCATTCACGAATACCATCTCATCACAGCAATAAGGCATTCCAGGTAGCAAACTTCAGGATTGCAACTGCACTTGGGTGGATGAAGTCGCATCTCTTACGGCTTCATGCCTTAGACTGCCATGCCAAGATGCAGTATTTAACTGTCCTTGACTACCTGTTGTGTTTTACCGCCATGCTGTATGTATGTGTTACCACGTAGAACGTAGTTTGAATACATACATGTAGAGCACACATGTTAAAAACACAAACGAGGCCATCCATACACCTAAAGAAAGCTATATTGTCGCACGTTGGCCTTCATCATGTTTGGTTAAACATGTGTAAACTTCATTGGAACTGTGACATAGTTGTCGTTGTTAGTTTTGTCATAGTTTTTAAGATGTATTCTTGATACTTCAATTGATTCTGCTTTAGGAGAATCATTTAAGATTTTTACCTTGCTTTTTATATTAGAGAAAATCGTATTGCAGCACCATTGGCACAGCAGCCTTAAGTAGCAGGAGCCTCTTTGTGGGAGAAAAATTGCTCTTGTTCCAGTAAAAAAGCATTGTTTTTAAAATGAGTGACTGAAAGAGTCGTATCTTACAAAGCAAATTATAAGCTTGAATTTCTTACCCACCTATGGATTAGCAAAAATATTATTGTCTATTCTAATCTGCACCTTCTGTGAGAAAGAAACAGTAAGTTTCGTGATACCCCTCAGAAGGGCAACAATAGGGCGTGATTACATCGTACTTGTACATGCAATCCTAGCTTGGTTTTCAACCAGGTCACAGGTTTAACTCCCTGAAAGAGCTGGGGGAATGTTTGGCAAAATTTTGATCTGTTTTGCTGTAGATGTTGCAATTCGGTTGAAACATGTGCCTTGCAAGTTTTTATTAAACAAACAAAAAACTCAACTGGTGTTTATTTTTGTGAAGACTTTTTTTTTTTTTTTTTAATTCTTGTCCCTCTGATTTATAGAGCTTCTGTTGTGTCTTAATAGCCCAGCCTCTGAGGATGCGTGTGTGGGCAGTGGTAGGTGTGCCAGCCACCTGATCAACGGCAGTTCACCAGGAAGAATGAGAGCTTGCATAGCAATTTGTATTGCTATTTTGCTGGTTTATTCCCTCCTTCAGGTTTCCAACTTCTGCTTGATCTTAGTAAAGGCAAAAAAATTACCTTGAAAGAATACGTTGCATATAGTATTTTCAGGCACTCACCTGTTGCCATTAGGCATGTGGGTTAAAGTTTTAATCAAGCCACAGCTAAACTGACATGTACAGTTCTGTCTTAATCTTAAAAAAAACGCTCTTTCACTTCCTGAATTACCACATACGTAAACTCAGTTGACAGATTTGCCAGGAGATATTCAAGACTAATTAAGTAAAGGCATCACAAAACATAAGCTTCTGTTCATATTATTTAAAAAAAAACAAACCGGTTTTATTTCTTCCGAAGTACATGGAAATACAGTTTAATACAATACAACCTTAAATACAGTTTCCATTGGGAGGAGTAAGGAAGAGATACACAAATATGGAAGGAAGAGGGCCAAAAGGTGTAACGGGCATTGAAAATTCTTCCAAGTATTTGCTCTGGTGACATTGCTCCTTACTGAAAGGTAGGAGGTTAGGAACCAAATCTTGTCCTTGCCACCTCATTTTTACTGAGTCATCTGCAAACGTCCAAATCTTGTAAGCCTTCATCAACTTTCCCATGCAATTCACATGAATAGGAGCTGCAAGAGCAGGTCGTAGGGCTTGTAATCCATCGTTGAAACACTTCTTAATGACTGCTGTTAACCACGTCTAACGTGTTCCTTCGCCAAAAACCTAACATGAGAAAGCGTAGGCTGGTTGTGTGAGTGCGTGGGCACGTGTGTTGTATTTGCATTCAGAGACACCTGATTCACTGTTGCGATTTGGAGATGTAATGAGTAACTTCTGTTATCACTAGTGGTGGTTGAGCCTATAAACCTCCTAAACACTGACGGGCAGGTGGACTTGAGAGTCCTGCGGTATCGGAGATGAAAGAAAAGCCGAGTTTATCCCAACGCAAGCAACATTTCATGTGAAATAATACCTCAACATAAATCTGTATGGTCATGCCTTTAGTACTCTTTTTAAAACTGAACTTTGGGGAGGAGAGGGGAGAGTGGAAACGCTAAAAAAACATGCAGCATGTGTTATTTTCATAACCGTTTCTACAGCATCAAGTACAGCTAAAAGAAAATATCACCCTTGTGCTGCTGCACTCTTACGATGCCAAATGCAGGGCTGGCGATGCCTGAAGGTCTTCTGAGCAGTTTGGTGCCTCAGCCAGATGTTTCAATGCATAATCAACCTGGCAATGTTTTCAACTTTGGTGCAGTTAAAGGTTTGTCATTCTTCCTTTCACGTGGTGTTTAAGGTTACCTATTTATTTGATGGAAAAGAGGGGGGGTGTTTAATGCCTTCCAAAGTTTCAAACTCTGTTACTTCCGTCATGCAGAAGAATTGGTGGTGGTGCTTTACTTGTTAACAGTGGCATTAGCAGTAGCGTGTGTGGCATATGGACATCCCTGTGTGCAGGTATTTAATAACAGATGTAAGGAATCCAATTCCTTTTATCCTGTTTGTTGTCTTGGACAGTTTTTTTTATCAAAATAATGTATACGCAGTAAATATTTTTCTCTTGTGACAAACTTTTTCTGTGAAAAAAAAAATTGTAATAAAAGCCAAGCCTAGAAAGTACAGATCGTTTGGGACACGAACCGTTGTATGCTTTCTTTTGAGAAGTCTGATACCCTTTCACGAAAAACATGTAGTTCATAATGAATTAACCTCCTTTCTCCGCCGCGGTAATAAAATGATTTTTGTATTCTGTTGTATTATTTGCACATGCGATTTTGAATCAAGTGAAGACTGCACAGCATAGCTCAAATCCCTGGTGTGGTGGGGCAGCAGAAGTACTCCTGCAGCTCTTGAGGACTTGCAGCCCGCGCAGGCTGGATCCCTGTCTCACATCTGAGACACCTGGGTATGAGGGTGAGCAGCAGAACATGAGGTGCTTCACATGGAATGACTGAACTCCGGCTTTCTCCCTAAAGATCCTCCTACAGCGAGGATGTCGCCTGGAAATAAATTGCTATGCAACATCGCATGCTTATGTATCATCTGTTTGAATTTTTGCAGATCATGATTACCTACATTGGACCCTTCTATCATTTTATAAGGTGTTATTAGGAGTGAAATCATTGAATGCAGGCCACTTTGTAATAATTTACCATGTGAAATGAAAATTTACCTTGTGATATTAAAATCCTGACGTTATTTTAGTTAAATTCTAAAGATGACAGGAATATGTGTTTCTCTAAAAATCAGTCATACAGCACCTAAAAAATACATATTTACATCTTTAATTCTTAATGGGTTTGAACAACTCTTCAGCCTGCTTCCTTTTAGAGCAGTCAGGAAACGAGCTTAATTTTAAAAAGATGAAACGCAGTGGTGTTAGAAGTATTCAAGTTTATCCATTAATTCCTTTGTTATTGCTTAGCTGAAATGGGAATGGAGCTTCCTGGCACCATGAAATTTCTGTGCTCTTCCATGTCTTTATCCCTGTGGTGGGTTGACCCTGGCTGGGTGCCAGGTGCCCACCAAAGCTGCTCAGTCACTGCCCTCCTCAGCTGGACACGGGAGAGAAAAATATATCGAAAGTCTTGTGGGTCTGGATAAGGGCAGGGAGAGATCACTCACCTGTCACCGTCACGGGCAAAACAGACTCAGCCTGGGGAAATTAGTTGAATTTGTCAGCAATCAAATCAGAGTAGGGTTATAAGAAATAAAAATGAATCTTAAAACACCTTCCCCCCACCCCTTCCTTCATTCCCAGTTTCTCTACCTCCTCCCCCCAGTGGCTTAGGGGGATGGGGAATGGGGGTTGGGGTCCGTCCATCCCACGCTGTCCCTGCCGCTCCTTCCTCCGCAGGGAAGGACTCCTCACCCTCTGCCCCTGCCCCAGCCTGGGCTCCTCCCCACGGGGCCACCG